CCCCCCCCCCCTCTAAATTCAATTCTCTCCTGAAGAACGTCTTCGTGAGCCTCTCATGATTTCAGGATAGTTGAAACCCTCTTGAACATTCAGAAAGAGTGCATATGAAATTCTAATCACGAAAGGTGTTCCCCGAGGGGATACATACCTAGAGTTTGTTTTGTGAAGCACGTCAATTCTCTCGTGGGGAACGTCTTCGTGAGCCTCTTATGGTTTCAGGATAGTTTAAATCCTGTGACGCTCCGATTTAATGCTCACCGATGATCTGAGCCATGGGGCAAGTTTGTTTTCCTAAGAATCTTTGTGAACATTTCGAGAGCATATGTTTGAACATTTAGAGTGCATATGAAATTATATTTACGGAAGGTCGCCTCCGAGGGGATAAATCACCATGTCGAACATTGCGTTTTTGTTCCTGCCTCTCACGTTCTCTTCTCTTCCCGCTGTCCGACCTTTCGTGTCTCCCTCCTCTCAAGTTATACATATATATTACTATATTTTTAATAAATATATGCTAGCCCCCATCAATACCTACCTCTTTGCAAATGCTCAGGTATAAGCTGAACCCCAACAGATGAGTTGGTAAGTGTCTTGTGTAATTCTTGTCTACTCTGCCCATTCATTCCTATCACCTGTGGTGATACGGTCACCACACCTGTAGTAGAAGTAGTACCATCAGTGGTAGCCTGTAACAATAGACCTGAGCCTAAACCATTAGCATAAGCATGATAATCAGCATCCCAACGGGGGTTAACTGAACTTTCAATGCCATCAATGTTTCTTACACCTCCAGGTTTGAAGCACTCATACAAATCACAGTGACGGCCGTACTTAACAATATCCTGATTCAGCTGACCACCTGCAGTTGGACTGTATGTCTGCATGAATGCATTTAAACCTTCTAATGGACGCAAAAACGTGTTATGTCTCCATTTGTGTTTCGAAATGTTGCAGGCAGTATTACACTTCTTATATATATATATATAAGTGTTGTCTTCACCTGATATGTGTTTCCCGCATTTGGGTTGCACACAAGTGACAAATCCCCTGTTTGTTACATATTGACTTGTTTCATGCAACCCAACGTTTAAAATCTTTACCACTGTGTGTTTTGTTTTTGCTACTATACTATCCCTTTCTATTTCTATTGTCTTTTGACTGTGAGTTCGATTGAACACTAGTTTTAGACTGTTTATTCAGGGTTTTATGAACATTTGTTATGTGATTATTTTGTTGCTCTATTAATTAGCTCCTTTATCCCATCATAACCACTTGATGACTTATTTACAGTATAGTTTTTTCTAGCTTGTCATGACTACCATTTGTTCTGGTTAGTGAAATGAATATGTTTTTTGTACGCAACTTTGTTGTAAAGCACAGGTCTTATATTATACAATCCCTGGCTCCTGACTCCTGACCATCAATTTGGCTTATATGTGTGTGCAACTAATGGGTTCCATCCACCAACATCTTGACTTTCAGCGTAGCCATCCAATGCAGAAACAATATTCTTTTGGTTTATGAAATCTAGCCTTCTTGGGTCTTGCTTGTCCCGTATGTGGCTGTAGCAAAATTGTTACTGTAGGTTGTTCTTCATTGTTTGTTGTTTTTGACAACTACTGACCCCAATGATTAAACCAATCTGGTTATTTCAGTGACTTTTTTGAATCTTCCATTACATCATGACGTTTTTTCCGCAGATAGCTGCAAGCTATAGGGGCTCTTGCTTCTCAATGGTGTGGCTCTGGATCGGCGTTTCGTTTTGACCGTGCTGGTGCTGGTGCTGGATCGGTGCTTTGCCTGGGCGTGCTGGTGCAGGTGGTGGTGCTGGTGCGGGTACTGGTTGCTGGCGCGGGTGCTGGTGGTGGATCGGCGTTTGCTCGGGGCGTGCTGGTGCAGGTGCTGGTGCTGGATCTTGGGCGTGCTGGTGCGGGTGCTGGTGTGGGTGCTGGTGCGGGGGCTGGCGCTGGATCGGCGTTTTCTTGGGGCGTGCGGGTGCTGCTGCTGCTGCTGCTGCTGCTGGATCGGCGTTTTGTGTGGGCGTGCTGGTGCTGGTGCTGGTCCCTGGCATGACATGATGTCATCCCTTTGGCACGACACCATGTCACCACACAGAGAAACGATGCATACATGCATCAATGTGTCAGCACCATAGGGGTGGATATCGTCCCTGCCCTGACAAACGTCATCCGTGGCAAGGTGAACAATGCCCTTGGCACCGGTCATTGGCAACGAAAGCTATTAGACATTGGGATGGTTTTCCCTCAAGCACGATGAGCTCTTTCCCTATACACCCGCTATCTGGGGTCTATGCCGGGCAATCAGTATGTTTTGCATTTCGAATAAGCAACAAATCAAATATACTATATACATCTCTTTCCAAACTTCCATCCTTGCCACCAGTGCTTGGAATATAAAGAGTCTTACCCGTTTTGTATAATGTTGAAGGGCTCCAATAGGCATTTCTCAAACCCAATCGGTCTTCTACCTTTTCCTTATTTGCTACATTACTTTTTTCAGCATATAAAGCAATCTATGCTGTTCGTAGTGCTCATCTAGGCAGAGTTGTTCACCCTGTCATTCCAATATGTGGTCTTTAGTGTGGTCTTTTTCCGTTGTCTTCTAGAACGCCCTTGCCAAACTCTTTCTAAGAAATTGATGCACCGGCTGTACCGTATTGTTAAACGTTTTCCCTTGATACCTGACTCCTAAACCTGCTGTGGTCATTTGCCTCCTTAGACTCTACAATGCCTCCTCACCACCTTCTCTTGTTAATATCCTCTGTAGACACGATGGGAGGCGAGTGAAGTAGTAAAGTACTAGGACATCCTAGGATTTTCCTGGAACCAAGAACCAAGATTGTGGAGAAGCTGTTGCCAGAAAACGCCCGAAATCCCCAAGACGTTCTCCAAGATTTTCCCCAAGAACCAAGATTTTCCCCAAGACTTCCTGTGCAATCATCTGGTTCTTGGCTCCAGGAAAGTCCTAAAATTTCCAGGAACATCAGCACAAAGCACTGTAAAGCACGATTCTTTCATAGAAAAGGTAGGTACCGAGGGGGATACCATATATACATACATAGTTACAAAATCATATTAATATATATTTTATAGATATATATATACTATTTTACTATTTTATACTAATACAATCTAATACAGTTATTACATATAGTATGTATACAGTGTGTAGACACATTCGTTTTGACTTACAACTATATATATATATATCTCGGTGGATTGGACGGACGGTCTGAACAACCTGGTTGACAAACTCGGTGGAAGTAACACGCACTGGGTTTTTCAGTCAGGTCGACCAACTCGGTCAACACCAGAGTCACCCGATTTGTGGAAATGATCGGACTGGCAGTGGAATGGACTCCGGAGTTCATGACCTGATTGGTCAAAACATGTCAAAACCAAACAATTGCATGCATTTGCACTGTTCTTTTCTCCGCCTGCACTGAATAAAGCTTTATACCTAACAACCTAACATAAGGATTCAACTTAACACGTGGAGCTCTGAACTCACGTGGACGATTGGGCCCTGGTAACGACCGGGAGACATGTACTTTCTTCGGGAAAAGGCTGTGGGTCAAAACCTTGGAGCCCGGTTGACCTCCAAAGATCTCCAGAGTAGTCTATTCTGTGATCGTCTGTTTTTGACGGTCAACCAGGGTCCTCTGGTGCCATGACCCACAATCCCTATTGTCCTGTCCTGGCAGTATTCGACCTTGATCAACAATGATTCCTTGTGGCTATCCTTCGCTGCTGCCATGGTAGCTTTGCTACCTTCGAATTCCAAGAGGTGCAATAGGCAAACGATTCGGGTGGAACATGTGAGATCGCTAGATCATTCTGGATTTATGATGTTCTTACGAGATGGGAACTGGCAAGACTCTATGCAGTATTGTTCATGTGTCATACCTGCAAATACATGTTTTCCTGTTTGAAGGCCGATGTTCTTCAATCAGGTCAGGGATCGGAAGCAGGACTGCTTCCTGCATCTCAGCAACGGTTTGCAAACTAAACCCAGGTACCTGACCGAGAATGGGAGCAAAATCAAGAGTTGGAAATAAGAAGGGATTGACTCTTGAGCTCAATCTTTTCTGTATCCTGGTCCTGTACACTGCTGCTGGGAATTGACTCTGGATTGAAGTCTTTTTCGGGGGCTGAGATCAATGCCTCACTCGAAAGGAATTAACTCTGGAATGAACTTCTTTTGGGACCTCCTGTCGAGATACGTTGCCTGAACATGCCTGAACTATGGAGTTGATACTCTTGACACTGTGAGCATCAATCCAAAAGACTGGTACCGTCCACTCCGCTCCACGAGAGCCCAAACGATTGAGCCTCCCACGCCGAGTTCTGTGCCGAACTGGGAGGATGGCACTCCTGGACCACCTGGAATCGTTCGACGTCGGCAAGGTCGATCACGCCTGACTTAGGTCGATTCCGACGGTCCACCTGCTGGATTTGAGTGGGGAAACATGTCAATGTTTGTTGATCCACAAAAAGGTATCCACCTAACAGCCGAATGGTTCGCTATATGTTTTTTTTCCAACAAAAAGGGTTCAAATTGGTTGGCTAAACCCCTCCAATTCTGCAAACATCGGTGAAGTCAGATGGATTACTGCACCGACCTCATGGACCCGACCCGACCGTGGGGTCCCCGCTTTTTGTCCGCTTGGAAAGCCTGGGACCCTGGGATTGGGTGACGAGGTGGATGACGAAGGCTTGAGACGAAAGCGTGCGCCAGCTACTAGTAAGGCCAGGAGCGATGCCGCGATGCCCTTCAGGACGTTACTAGTAACTTTAGTAGCGTCCTCGAAACTCTCCAAAACTTGCTGAAAACATGACATGAATGGTTCTTTCATGCAATGCCCTTTCACCACTACAGTATCATAAATGTTTCCCTTTACCATCCTTCACCACTTGGTCAAATGCTTGAATGAATTCAACCAATGTAAAACACAATCTGAAGAGAAGAATATGTATGTTTGATGGGTCATCCCAGTGATAGTGATTCTAGAATTACAGTATAGTGAATAATCATTAATAATCTTCAAAACCAACCAGTCAACTGGGTACCTCTACTCCTCAGTCTACTTCCGGTGTGCCTCCACCACTGGCTCGCGCGGGCTCCTGCGCGCCCGCGCCACGGCCCGCTGATCCAAGGGGATGGAATTGCCACATACATCGTCGACATGAAAGCGATGGTAGCAGAACGACCACACAAAACACAAAACAGGCCGACAACCACAAGCCTGTAACATCCTCCAACTCTAACCTTGATGTCATGTATGAAATGGGGGTACCAACCTGGGGCCTGGGACTAACAAAGCCGTGCTCGAGACCCTGCAGTTCCTGTTTTTTGTTCCCTGTTGCGCCCCTTTCTTGTCACGAATCACGACTCTGCTTGAAATGGCAGGAAGTAGATGATCAATCTTCCGGGCGGCAACGCCTCTGACGAACGGTGCCGGCGGCCCCGACTGTGGACCTTGACTTGAAGTATCCCTCCGCAAGAAATCCGTAACCTCTGGGCCGAACAAGCAGGGATGCATCATGATGCATCTATCATGATCTCTCACCCCAGCAAAAACCTCACCCCCCGACTCACCAGTTCAACAGCCGGACGTCACGACTGAGACTCGCTCCCTGGTGGCGACCTTCGCACATTCGGCCGTTCCTCGGACCCAGCGCTGGCGAAACGGTGCGCGAAACGGTGCGCGTGAAGCGAGACGGTGGGAACCACGGTGGGAACGGTGAACACGCTGCGTTTGGCCTGGAGTCCCTGGCTCGCCGGAGCTGTGTAATAAAGGAATCACACCGTACACCCGACGCGTTACTGAGCATGGCACACAGTGGAATGCTGAGTGATGTTGAGTGGATGTTCTCTTCAACAACGGTTCAAGGACGAGTGTGTTTCTGCATGCAACAAAACATACAGCTTTCATGACTGTCTAACAGTAGAATCCCAAATCAAGCTTTGCTTGAATCAACTGTAACTGTAGTTAAAAGGAAACGACTTTGCCCACAACCGGAATTCTGTATTTGATTTGTCTTTCAATGAATATTTGGTCGAAACTGCTACGTTCTGGTGACCAGGATTGTAAAAACACCATCCACTCCGCTGCTTTTCTGCTCAGCCAAATTGGACTGAAATTCCGCTCGGCCTGGGAATCAGATCGGCCCTGCTTGGCCTTCCGGCGTTTGCGAGAGCGGCTTTCACCAATTGTTGCAAGATGGGATACCTCAGGGCGTTTGATGGAAGGATCCAGCAGAATCCGTTCTCAAACGGGCGGACGAGTCTGGCCCTCCAAAGATTGTCCACTTCTTTGGGTTGCTCCCCAAAAGGAACCTCCTCAAGCAATAGTTATGACTCAGTTATTAGTGACTATAATATATACACAGAATTTATATGAAATTATTGTATATTATACATACAAACATGGGCAATCGAAAGATATATAAGACTTAGAATCATGTCCATTATTTTGGGACTTGACCACACTGGGGGAGCAGTGTTTCAAAGGTGCTCCAAAAGGCCCTCCATTCACCGGATTGATTGGGATTTCCCGCACATCACCCGGAGAACAGCCACCATCAAAGCCAGCGAACCATGACCACATGCCGATCTTTCCCGTCAAGTACGAGTACCGTGCTTTTGACCCACACCCTCAAACACCCATCAAATGCGCCGAGCCGGGCTGAGCGGACAAAGAGTCCTGCACCATGCCATTTTGGGTCTCGGTGTTCCGAAAACCCTCTCTGAGCAACTGAGCTGAGAGTTTACTGTCGACGAGGGTTGGTTGACATATTCCTTACTGACATCTGGTTCAAATTTGGGATCATGTTGAGCATTGGTGACGAACAAGCAAAGCTGATGTCTGCAATGTTCTTTCCTTTGACCCGATCTCCTGATGTCTCCCGGGGGGCGGGTAGGCCACTAGAGGCAGTAGCAAGGTAGGTAGCTAGTAGTAGCTAGGGAGTCGCTAGTAGCTGCTTCATGTGGACGCAGGATAGCTCACGCTTCTTCAAGGAAGCTCCCCCTGCCGCCCTAGAGGAGCTTCCTTGAAGAAGCGCTCGCACTATTCATTTGGTTCCTAGATTTTTAGGGAAACTTAACATATCGCCATATCGCCCAGCGGCTGTTGAAAGCTGCTGCACCTCACAAGTTGATGCTGCTGCGTCAAACAGCAGCAGCGCAGAACAAGAGCCGTTTTGGGATGTTTTAGGGTTCCTGCTGGAAATTAAACCATTCCAACCAACATGGTGGGTGATGGGCCAACCACAAGAAAACCATGATTCTCCCTTCTTCAGATTCGAGCGTACACGTCTGGGACTATCGTTCGGGCTTCGAGCCTAAGAGTAGCTTGAAGGCCGAACCTGAAGGGACTCCAACCAAGTAAAACGGAATTTGATAGCATAAAATGTCATGTTCAAGCATCTCAAAGTTCTTCAAATTTACCCTCACCTAGTTCACCCAACGATTTTGGCTGCGCTAGGCTTGGAGGTTAAGGGGTCTGTGCGGAAGTCGGAAGAACAAGCAAACACGCAATAATCCGGGTACCTATGGGAAAAAAAACACAACCCAATTATATTATGTTTTGGACATACGAAAATGTCCGAGACCTCTAAATACAGCTTGCATTGGGCGTTTTTTATTACACCCTTTACTGTACTTTCTACTACAGTACCAAGCGCCTTCCCAAACTGCATGGCACAGTGACGTCACCTTTCAAAGCCTTGAGTCGTTAGATGTCGTTAGTCTATAATATCAATGAAGGTCTTGTCTATTTTTGATAGCAGTTTGATAAAGAATTAATTCTATATTGTATATACAATATAGAAATGCCCTAGGCGACTTTTTCGGCTTTGAAGCTCTTCCCAAATGCAAATCTTTGGGGATCCCCGTATTCTTGAACTTGGACCCACTATTCTTTTTCGCAGCGCACGGGCCTGCCTCTCGAGCTCGCTACCCGTTAAAGAATGAGGGTGGTACCGCTGCCCTCTACACTAAGTCGACCGCCGGAAGGGGTAAAGCATAGATTAGATAGAACAACAAAATTCACGAAGATTCGGGTTGAAATGAGACCTAGAAGAATCAGGCCCATTCACCAGAATTGGGCCCCCATTTTACGTAAGACAAAAAAACCTCCGAATTTTCTTTGTAAGACCTCCATATGACATGGCAAATAATGACAGGGATCTCCCACAAGTCCCACATATCCAATCATCATTGGTGAGCTGGAAACAGCTTAAAAACCCCAAACTTGAACTCTTCGTAAAAAACATCCTTAATTATCTAAATTTGACTCGAATGACACTGGGTGTACTCCGACCAAAAATACGCATCGCTTCGGATCCCCAACCGCTCCACTGACTGGTGCGACGCGTAGGGAATAAGGGCAGTTTCGCTCAGGGAGTCCTTTGGATCCACCCTACGTTCGTAGCGTCCTTGCTCCGTTCGTAGCGATGCCAGGAGCCACTATGTAGTAAGCATTCTTGCTCCGTTCGTAGCGATGCCCTTTCTTACTAGTAGCTTCTTCTTACATCTTCTTACTAGTAGTAAGGCAAGGAGCTACTAGTAGCATCCTCCCTCATTCCCTACAAGTGGCACAAGTCAGTCCAATGAATTTCAATCGGAGCCACTGGATCTGTCGCAGAAGTCCTCCGACGCCCACCGTCGTCTGCGAGGTGCGCTCATGGGACCTGCGGTCTGACAGATGTCGGTCGACGGTCGTTTCTGGTCGCTTCGTGTAGTAGCAAATAGCCAGTATAGTAGCGATGGCCTCCACCCTAGTAGCGTCCCTACTACTCTCCCTGGTGGTGTAAAAATTCAGTGGTGTAGAAACCAAACCGCGGAAGAAATCCTCCACCTCCAAAGCCACATAGGACTCCCCATAAAACAAGACCGTCAAAAGCCGTAAAAGGTGTTTCTTAAACATCTCAGATGTAGGAGCTCTGCATGTAGGACTGGCGGAACTTCCGGGGAATCCATAGGAAACTGTGAATTGTTACTTGAGATTCGGCACCTTTCGCCCAGTCGCAGCGGTCACTGACTTGTCCCAAACAGGAAAAATGGCAGGAAGATCCATCAAATTGAGTCCCAAGTTACCTGCCGCGATCTACTATGAGTATGTGTTCATATACAGTACACGATACATGAAATATCAACAATTACTTAATTATTACAGTACTATTATATATGAGCATCTGCCAAAACGTACTGTCAAGTAGAGGACAATTCATCAAGACTGTCACTTTTGAGAGGGAGTCTTATCACATTTGCAGGTTTGAGCCATGCTTTTGTAGGTTTTTGATCAATTCCCGAAAATCACGATCGCTCTTTATCAAATTAGTCATGGTAAGTTTTGGCGGTTGCTCGAATATAAATATATACAATATATACACGATATATAATATGATACATAATAAGTAATACATATATAGTGCATACGAGTACAGTGTGGCTCCTGAAGAGACAAACAACTAGTGGCCCTACACAAATTGTTCAGATCTTGCCAGTTCCACCGCGTTGTCGACCTGGACCACTCGGCCTCCTCCCATCTCGACAACGGCTCTGGGGCAGGGAAATGCCACCGCGCCTGAGCGGCAAGAACCAGCACTGTCAAGCAGGCCAAGCTGCCAGGTGGTCTGATTCCTATCATTGACAACTGGACTTGCTATGATTGCCTTCATCTTTGGTAGGATGACCAGGATGACACATCACATCTTTTGCAGCGTGAGGTACCGTGACATGAGTTCCCTGCCTTTGGATGACTCTAAGTCAGAAAGAGGAACCAAGTCGGACCACTAGGCCGGATGTGGTGGATCAAAATGTGAGTCGTACCAGCCACAATACGTTCACAGGAGGTTTGCCAATAGCTGGCGAGCGGTCTGGTCCTTCTGTGCCCTCTGGTACAAGTACTGTCCCGTGATGAGGCTTCTTGGGCATTGTCATGCATTTTCCCATTGATAAGTGGATTGGGTGATCCGTTCCAGCTGTTCCTGAAGCTCAAGGGACCCTTGCGCTAAGGATCCCCACCAGGGTCGATCACTGTGCGAGGAAGCGAAGGCCGGAGGCAGAAACAGCTCCTGCCCTCGGTTTTGTTGGGATGATGTGATTGAGAGGCCGGCCGCTTGCCGCTTCAGTCCAGGGTTCAGTGTAGGACACCATTGGATTTTGCACCAGCACCGCGGAATCGAGTATAGGGATTTGGCCAGCAACAAACTCAGGCAAAGCGCCGACCAATCTTCCTAGCATAGACCACACAAAGCACGGAAGTTTGCTATCATTGATGTTGTATTAGATACACTACTGTATGTATCAGTATGTATTCTATACTGGATTCCAAACCTTTTGTCCAAATTGGGTCAGGCGTCTCACTTCACATGGCCCGTTGCTAACCTTACGTTCGGGAGCACCTACAATCCAGACCTCTAAATCACCCCCAGCAGGTATGCAACGTTTTTTTAAGGCAGTCTTGCGGACCTCACATTTCCGCTGAGAAGCACTCTTGAAAGCCGAGAAGTATTCAGGGTCCGGGTTTACCTCAATCAATTGATAGGAAAGCTTTATGATTGTCCACAAAGATATGCATTAGTTGCTTCTTCACACGGAAGACCACTTAATATTCAATTCTTGAGCCACAAGGGAGTATGCTAAAAACAAAGCTTCAAGTGAAACAGGAACATGATATAATGATACACTAAAACATATTCAATATGTGACATCCAAACAACTCTTATGAAGTGGAAGCAAACTCTGAAGGAACGGCCACTGACATGGCTCAAACAGCAAACTCAGCCTTCTTGGCAGCTGCTTGTCACACGCTTTTGCTACTTCTATTCGTGGTCACACAAGCCGTGGCCGTGGAACGGTGGAACGAGTGGATCCGTAAATGCACTTCGATCAACCCGATGTTTGGGGTTGAGTCTGGCGAATCCAACGAGATCTCGCGAATCCAACGAGCGAGCGATGTTCGGTGAGGCCTTTGGACATCTGAAGGACGTGGTTTTCACCGAGTGAAGAGTGAAGAGAGTGAAGAGACTTCGGGTGCCATGGGCTCGGACCTGAGGGCGTGCTGTTCAGGAACCGGAATAAAAATGCAGATTTTCCAGGGGATTGACCCTAAGCACAACCAGGTGATTCAGATTTCAACGACTGCCGCCATCTCCTCCCTTGGGCCACCACGACTGGTGGTCGGCAGGTCCAAAGAGGCCAAGGGAGCTACCAAGCTGGCCGAGCACGCGGCGTTGTGCCACGGGGAGAAGCACACATAAAGAAACATAAAGAAAGAACTTCTACAGTGGGTTCAGAATAGATGGCACAATCCCCAAAAGGTGGTTTATATTGACCCCTATCTAAAGGACACCTTGGGGGTTGTGCCATCTACTCTGAAACAACTGTATTTTAATAAGGCCACCTGACATCACCTCATCCTCCTATACAATCTGCTGACCAACCTGCCTGGGCGGAGTCCTGCGTCGTTTTTTAAACCTCTTGTAGAAACCATAAGAAGTTGAACAGTAGAACCCATAGCCTATAGCCCGCCCCCAGAGTTTGCGACCTGTGCATTTTACGTCTGAGTTGGGTCACCCTTCGCAATCCATCGCCAAGACAAATACTGTCACCTGTCAATGTGGGGGTCTGCATTGAAGTCACCCAATCAAAATGTGAAGGTGAAATTGCAAACACCTTAAACCTTGCGGTCAATCCAGTGGACACTTCTGGCAGAACTTTAGAACCACTATTGTCTGAATGATAGGTGGAGATATGGTGATTTCTCACAACTCGAGGAAATGAAGAAACCGCATCAAATCTGAAGTCCATGTTTGCAGGCGTCCGGCAGGCTTACGCCGAATTCCAAAAACATCAGGTACAAGTCTTGCATTCATTGTGGTCAACCATCCTCTTGGTCCTCATACATCCTCCTGATATCTCCTGATGTATCGTTTATGTACAGTGTCAGTGCTCTACTAGCCTCTCTTTGTCGGTGAGGGCAAAACAAAGTCAACTGAGCAATGCATGAAGATCCGTGCAAGCAAGACTTTGGGGTGTGCTCCACCCGCATCAGAAAAATGACTAACAGAGCCACACAACGACATCTGGTTCGAGAAAGCTGACTCACAGGAATGTTGTGAACTTTGCTGATTTGTTTAGTGATGTTAGAACAGAGCCCAGAAAGTGGATGGATCTTGACATTGCAACTTAGGTCAACTTGAGTCAGCCTCTGAGCCTCGCTCCAATCACATTCCTGCACCAGGTCAGTTCCCTCATGTCAGATCGTCTCCACCGATCCACCGACGACTACGCCGTCTTCGTCTCCTGGCGCTCCACATGATGAGCGACACTGGCCCGGACGTCACCCCACTGAGCCAAGCTGCAGAGTTCGAACGACGCAGGGACACACGTTTTTGCCTTTGTCGTTTGTCAAAACTGCTTGGGGGTCAGTGGGGACAATATATATATATATATTCATACAACTGCCACTGCTCTTTTTAAATGACTACTTACTTGTGGATCTGCAGGAAGCCTCAGGAAGGTCGCACGTTGGACTGTTGGACTTATATAGACATTTGGAGAGGCAATTCTTGTAGTGGTCAGTGGTCATGTGGCAGTGGCACAAGTGCCGCCCTACAACAGCCCGCTGCACATCTCAACAATGAAAAGAAAAAACAGAACGGTTTTTCGGGAGATGTTCACTTCGAATGCTTTTTGTGGGATCTTTTTCTGGGTGTCCGGAAACTACCCAACAACATGGTGGCAGTGCTTCCGATGCTGCGGCTAAATCCTAGCTATACTAGTACTAGTGGTGCTTATTCGGATGTGGATGATGTCGGTTGAAACGCAAGTCCTAGGTTTCTTGCAGGAGTACGTGCTCCGGTCGTTTCAATCCATGAGTGACGCGAACCTTTCATGAATCTTATGCGTCTGATGCGAGATGTCAAAAGGCTGTGAGTATGCTGTGAGTATGCAGCTCTGGGTTCACATCCAAAGATGGCAATGCAGCTCTCGCAGACTTCGCCCACCTAGAACAGGACTCTTTTTGATCAATAAGTCATGCATCACATGTTCGAGTGAACTGTGTGAAACTTGCCTTCGGCAAAAGCAGCGTCTTTGCTATGTCCTTGCTAAACTTTGTGCATGTTCCCCAAGTTCAATTGTGTTCAACATCAAGATGTCGTGAACATGTGCAGTTTTTCAGTTCAAAGCTCACTTGAGAGACTTGACTTGTCATCCTTGTCTGCTTGTATCGACTTAAAATCTACAAATTCCAGACATCTCAAGACAGCACTGACCCCTCCGTTTCTCCCAGTACTCAGTTCTGTCAGCCAAGCGACCTGCTGGGAGCCTTGGAGGAGATAACAGCACTGTAGACCCTTTCAGTGAAGAGACGTCCCCCCAAAAACCTCACAGTGAAAGACGTCAGGAATCGGAATCCGTTCTTCCAGAGACGTGGACTTGCCAGGTCAGGGTTGGGATATCACCCCCCGGTCTTCAGAATGGTGTTACATCTCCAATAAAAAAGGGGGGTAATAACGAACAGCCGACAAGACTTCGCTGCTCACATCATCCCGTCAAAACCCTGCTGTTTTGCAGACTCCTTCGGAGCATTTTGAAGCCTCTTTTTTGGCACTGAGGCTATGACTCTGCTTTCAAGCTACCCGTCCTGGCCAAAGGATGCTGGTCCTCCAACTTCGTTTGACATCGGAATTTAAGCAAAAGCAACATATTATATATTTAGATTGAAGAGGGATGATTCAGTCATGTTTCTGCAACACTTGTACAGTTCCCCAACAGGATGGTTGATTCTTCGGTAACCATGTGGGTTCGGTATCATTCATCCCCACTCTCGACCTATTAACGGCCCCTTAGGAGGCAAAATTTATTCGAATACCTTCAGTTGGGGCAACAAACCAATGAACACATATGAAAACTGTATGTTTGGAAGTGAACCACTTCACCCACCTTGTGGACACACGAATCAGTCCTCCTCCCGGCTAAAAACCCCGAGACCGGTCTCCTGCTACTCACCCGTCTCGAGCTCAAAGTCATCTTCACCTGCCGCTGGTGAAAAGTGATGTAGCTCATTGTGGTGGAGACTGTCGCTCCTCAGGGATCACCCAAGTGATGACGAACTTTTGCGGCTTTCGTCTCAGAACTCTGTTCCAGCTGATTCGTCGCAGAACTCTGGGTCACTGCTCGGTGGTCGGGGGAGGCAAATGGTCATGAACACCATACTAATGGACATTGAGGAAATACGCATAGAATCGCATGGAGTACCATAATACCATGGCCAAATGATCACTGCACAGGAATACCATGGACTAGGGTGCCCAGTTGTGTCCCTACAAGTAGGGTTGGTAGCTTTCAGGCTCGGTGGTCGATCTTCTTGAATCCCTTAGGATGGTGGAAGGATATCGAAATGTATTCAGGTCATCTTAGGCCAAACCACCAACTATCCCTATGGCCCTATATGGCCTACGTCTCTTACGTGCAGATCTATTCAACGCTCCCAATGCTCCCAACTACAAAATTCGGTTGGGGCAAACAGCCCGACAGATCATAGGCCATGTGAGCGGCGCACGTGTTTCATTCGTAAACAGCAACTGTAGATCTTCACCTGGGCCTTCGGATCTTTGTGAACGTGGCTTGGCACTTGCGCGTCGAGAACGAAGAAGAATCAAACCATGAACAATCTGATGCTGGCATGTTGAGCCAAAGGTGAACCATTGATTCTTCATCCATTGGTCTTCTTCCGAAGAGAATCTGACCCTCCACCTGGATCTCCACTCGGAGAGCCCTCGAAGAACATCTCCTAGCAGAGTCGTCCTACCCTTTCGGGTGACCTTTTTGGCAAGGGGTCGGACTACCCCAACGTCTGGATAGTCTTTTGCAGGAAAGAAACTGACAACTTGTTACAAAGGAAGCGGAAGTATAGGGGTAGAATGAAAGCACTTCCTAATTATAGCCAAAAAAGTGGATATGTGATATAGTATGGACGAACACTCCAGATAGGTCCACCGCAACAGTGCAGAATGGATTTGCCATCACGGTCACCCGTTGAGCACACGCACAAACTTGACAACTGTCCGTTCACCAAACTTCGCCCAAACCAACTGAATAGTTGGTCAAAACCTATTTAACTATGGTCTGTCGTTGCCTATATTCCACATCTGGGTGGGTCATGGGTGATCTATGTTCAGTATTCCTCTACATTCCCTCCAGTGACTCCAGTGATCTTCTTTTCAACATGTCCCTGACATTCCGCCACCTGGCTTGATTCAGCCGGTCCCATTTCAGTCCTCCTGTTTGATACGATCCGCTACTGAGCGATCCCTTAAAACGATGACATCGTTGAGGGGCTTTCCTCCGTCCTCGGTGCGTATGAATCTGCGTGTCATGCGAAAATTAAGTTGTGGGATGAAGGATTCAAAGAGAGGTGGATACAGTTGCAACGTAGATCGAAAGCAGCACAAACCTTAAGGTGTGGTTTAAACGGGTCCGAAATGGTCTTGGGTTTTCTTGAATAATTCAGACTTCAACGTCCTCCAACATTTGTCAAACGCATGGAAGGCCTATTGGTCATCACAAGTGTTGCTGCCTGGCCATCACAATACCGGCCAACGGACTGCAAAGAACTGCAAAGCTGCCGTAGCGGGCTTCATCATCTCTAGTTCAAGTTCAAGCATTGCACCAATGCAACATTGGAGAATTGACCCCTTCCTTGTGGGAACCTCCTCACGAACACAAAGAAACCTCTGAGCCCCTCATTGTAGGGGATTGATGCAGTTGATTCCTCCACAACAAGTTTAGGGAGATCCCTAGTTGAGGGATCAGGGCCATTCATGGCCATGCCCATCAATCACCAAATGCTTTTGCGTGGGAAGGTGTGAAAAGCACCTCTTGGGTCGTGCCATCTATCTATCTATCTATCTGCCTACCTATCCTATCCTATCCTATCCTATCCTATCCTCTCCTCTCCTCTCCAATCCAATCCAATCCAATCCAATCCAATCCAACCATCCACCTATAATTATATATATATAATATATGTATTCTCTGTCAGGTCAGTCACAAGCACATTCCTTAATCCTGGAACCGGCTGGCACACGCTCTTCTCCCCAGAACTATGGACCCGAAGTACTTGCCTTCAGCCGGTGGGTGGATGAGCCCCATCCGTGGGCCTACCCTATGCAAGTCCCATCCGCCTCGAAGCCTCTGAGTCCGCCGCCCAGCCACCAAAGATGATCACGTGAGGACCTCGGGCCGTGGGGCGAATCGGCGCCGCATCGGCGGGTGAATCTGGCGATGGGCATTGATAGAGTGAGTGCTGGCAGTTATAAAGGAGTTGTGAGGACGGCACTGTGTGTTACAAGCGGATCGGCACTGTGTGTTTAGTGACTGATAAATGCCCCCCCGGAAGGTTGGAAGGTTGACTGTTTTTTAAGGGTTCTCAAGAGGAGGGATCCCAAAGAATAGAGTTACGTTGAGGAAGTTAAGCTTCCGCTGGGTGTGATCAAAATAACAATAATTAGAAACACATAGGAAATATATTATATATATAGAGCATCCCAATTAGGAAAACAATAGGAAACAACACACATACATATTGTTTACCATGTGTGCTCTTTTTGTTCCTATTATGTTCCTATGTATATCTAAATTTGCATAGATTCTTGTTCTAACCGCAAATTTAGCAACATCCTCGAACAAAGTAGTAAACAATTATGAAGACATAGGACCTAGGACGAACAATAGGACATAAAAAGGACCAAGCATGTGACCAAACACAGGACATATTTGTCCCTATTGTTTGTCCTATTTTGTCTTATTTTGTTCCACAGTTTTGTTCTTAATAGATCCTAATATTTGTCCGACATATCTATGTTCCTATATTTTCTTGTGTCCTTTCATCATTTTACTATGTTCCAATTTTCAATGCCAAGCTTCAACACAAGAATAAAGTTCATGAGGAGGGAACTTCATGAGCAAAAGGTGTCTTGGGAGGTAGGGAGTTTAGAAGAGAAGGGAACACTGAACTGGAGATAGCATAATTAAAGTATTAATCAAGGACACTAATCGGAAAAAAAGAACACAATTGCAATACAAGGTTGGCCAAACCAATTGGAGGGGTCTGGTACCCAGTGTTGAAAAATTGACCAGACCAGGATAAATGATGCGTTTACACTATATATTACTATATGTATATATACACACACTATATACACATTGTCATATCTACCTCATGTGGTCCTGAGAGGTTTTGCAGTTTTGCTTGAGTCAGCTTGCAATCAAGAACCCAGCATCTATGATTAGCCAGCAGCTACTGTATTTGAGTACTGGCTTGATGGCAACATGATCTACTGGGTGAAAACAGTACTCAAGCTTCCCGATTCTTGTTGCATGCATAGCTGTGAAGTCACAGAATCATAAACTCGAATAAACTCGAAGCATCCGAGTTTACAGTCTGCGTGAAACCTTCACCAATTCTACCATTCCTGCCATTAGGAACAACAGGCCGGAGCTTTCAAATCAGCCGTGGTGTGTCTGGGCCAAAAACTGGAGTTCCAAACTACCGTGGCCTGAGGTCCCAGCCAATGGCAGTGGCCGTATGGCCATAGCGCCGGGTCGGCGCAGTGCCGATGTATTTGTTTTGCACCTGAATTTGCAGATGTCGGGCAGTCGTGTGCGGTTTCATGTATGGTCAGCCGCACCCGTGTGCGGGTGGTTCAATGGACATCAACACTTCTACCCTTCAGGAGACCAGTGAGAGAAAAACCCACTGGATTCATACTGACACTTGGTGAACCTTGCCTGAACTGATTGTCACGTCCATCAACCAGCGCCACATATGGACAAGTCCAATATCCTTAAACCCCTGCGCCGAGAGTGGTCAACCCACCAAGGTTGGTTCACCCACGAGTGGATAGAGCATACACTCCCACTCACCAACATGAAAGTAGACAATAGCTCCTGGGAAGAAGATGTTCCTTGACTAGTGCAAGATAGTGCAAGTGGCTTTCCAGTTCTGGAGACTCAGAGTGTGAGACACACCATGCATGCGTTCTAAACATAAGAAGCGAAGCTGTAAACTTGCTGACCAAAGTTTCCTTTGTGCAAAGCGTCCATGATATGTTCATCGTTCCCAAATGCCAATGACCAGCTTGCGCTTGTAGTGGTACATCACGTGGAACTCCATGAACAGCTTGTGATTAAGTCCAGAACCTTTGTTGCCCTGTTATTCCAGAACCCGCTACTAGTAACAAGGACGCTACTAGACGGAGGCCATCGCTATTAGTAGGTTGGAGGCCATTACTACTAGTAACAAGAAGCTACCAGTAGCTAGAAGCTACTAGGTGGAGGCCATTGCTATTAGGTGCTCCCATGTGCTCCCTGCATTGGTGTTCCGTCTCGCAACCGCATGAGGTCTCGGCCCACTGCATGTCCGCGGTGCGAAGAGTCATGCCTTTGCAGTCTCGGTCCGCTGTTTGAGACGGTGACTGGCTGGTGGCTGGCTGGTGTAACATCGTTAGTCTATGCTCAAGCCCTCGCAATGTAGTCTGTTGATGAATTCACCCCCCAAACATGGATCGCAAAACCTCTGGAAGGCAAGCCGGAGGTTGAAATACCAACAGTCCTACATTATGTGGCTTCTCCTCTTTCATTTGCACATCGCGGTTCACCTGGATCACCTAAGCACTAAAACAAAATGATCAAGGCCTGTCTTCCTGCATGCGGAACATGGCAGAGGTCACTTCCTCTGACCCTTCAGGACGGAACACATGATCCTTTCTCTCCAATCAGCAAACCTAGCTGAAGTACCCGCTTCCCATCCTTTTTTGTTCAAAGTACCTTTGCTCAATCCTTTGCAGCTAATTTCTATGGGTGCAAGAGTGGGGAAGTTGAAAATGACATTCAAGCAACATGATCACCTCGAGAACTTTCCCTTTTCAGCTACGTGGCTTACACAATCCCAAGCACTGAACTGTGTAGAATTGTAGACAAGCTTTTCCTGCAATTCCACATGCTCCCCAGATACCCCGCAAGGCTCCGAAGATCTTAGAATCTTAGAATCTCCTCGCTTTCTCTTGGTTCACGGAAGTCACACCAATAATCCACCTAGCCTCCAAGGCAGAATGATTGGGCCTTGACAAAAACTGTCGAGAAACCTAGCAAATGACATAGCTTTTCAGGGAAAGAAAAGCCTTTCACCCTGACTGACTGGCGTTGTTTAATGATCACTTCTTTCCAGCGGCACTGTCTCCGATGTCTCTGGGTCAGATTGAATCTCCTTTAGTGGTCCAACGTTGGAATTAGCGAATTAGCTAGCAAGTGGTTGAGACCTCCCTGTAGCTACCTGTTTGGGGAATATGGATACTCGCTCCCGAGCCGCTCCCTCCGGCTCGCGCCAGCTAGCCACTGTGTATGGAGCACCCCAGCTCCACCGTTGGAGCACCCCAGCTCCACCCTCCTCTCAGATCCAGCGGCAAAAGTCGCAGCTTTCGTCGGGTGAAGCAGTGGGCTTTTCGTCCTCTTCGTCAGCAGTTACCTGGCGAGGGCCCAAGCGACATCAAGCGACGCAACCCTTCGGCAATCCTCGGTTCTTGGAAGCACATTTTGTTTGGACAGGAAAGCAAGAACAAAGGGATGGTTTTCAATATGCACAATCCCACACACACACACACCAGGGCAAAGGACTTGTTTCCGAATGTTTCCAACAAAAACATCCCGAGGACATGTCCACACCACTTTTGTCAAAAGGAAAAGAAATGGAGAAACATACTGAAAGAGGTCCAGCTGAACCACTTCGCAAGGTTTTAGTATCCTCTCCCCTCCTCTTCCCAGTGACCACTTCGACTTCGCTGACGGGACCTTTTCCCGTAGAGCGAAGGTCACGCCGGCAGCCTTTCGAGAAGCGGCTTGGGTCGATGCCACCGTGACCAGAAGGGTTTGGAAACTCCTGCAAATCACAGAGTGTGGCAACTGGAGTAGGGTATACTGGTATACTTACCCGGTCCAAAGTCCAGTGGATATAAGGTAAGGAGCAAACCCTCAAAACTGCTGGTCTCTAGGTGTAGGTTTGTCTGGAGTGGGTGCATTTTCAGGGCGTGGTTGCTAGAGATGAAATGTTCAATCCAAAATTGTTGGACTGTGCACAATAAAAGGCTTCTTTTGTGATACACGACCACAAGTTTGTGGTGGGACTCAGGTGAAGGACTTATCTTTCACAAGGGCCCATTCTGATCTAAGGGCGGTAGAGCACTCAGTTTAAAGGCATCAACTTTGTTCACCTTATTATTTGGTTGCAGGACATTGAATTTCTGTTGCTTTGCTCTGATGTCATAGACCTGATGTTGTAAAAACAAGCAACAGTAGTTGTTGTTAGCATATAATAGGCAGTAGTTTAATCTCCATGGCAAGTTTGCTGTACTGTTGATGTTATTAAGACAATGTTTCTAGACATAAAATGCAAAGCACCCTTACTATAATCATATTAGTGGCTAATACTGTGGGTGAGGCGCCTTTTGTGCAAAAAGGCCTCTTTGATGGCACAATACCAAAATCAGATTCTGTGCTGGGCTCATGTAACGGACATATCTTAGCCTGTCTTTTGTAAGGGCTCTATTCTCATCTAAGGGCAGTGGAGCGCCCTTTGTAAATTCATCCGTTTTGTTCACCCTTCATTTTTAGATTACATATTATATATAGGGCTATGTTGGTTGTTAGTTGCACAGAATTCTAAGCTCCTAATGAGAACTGTTGCAATCACCAGCCAGGAAAAAAACATATCATGTCTTTGACTCCTGGGAAATTGCAACTGCAGCGGTGTGCGTCTGAAATATAGGTACCGGTGGGTAGCATAGGCATACTGTATATATATATATAATTAGTATGATATATTCAGTATATGGATAGTATGCGACATGCATTACTTTGACCTGGAAACAAACACTACCTACCTGAGAAGCTGCAAAACGAAAGCCAGCGCTTCCCTTTCTCGAG